CATGGGAGCGGCTGTAAGATGAGACTTGGAGAATGCCGATTTCATGGAAACTCCTCCTCCTCCTCCTCCTCGTCCCAGACTGTATTTATTCTCTCCCACTGCTTTATGTCTTCCTGGGACTTTGATGTCGGATGGCATCAGTGGAAGGTTTTGATTTGATTTGGAATGGGAAAGAACCACCAGATCCAAATGTACAATAGAGCAAGGAAGGCTGGCATTTCCACTGAATTTCATGGATCTGGAGTGTCCTGGACTTGGAAATGCCTGCCCACCAGGTAGATTGAATTGGAAGCCAAACAAAGAAAGCTCGTCAGCATCAAAACAGCTTAATCACAGAGCAGGGTTCTCCCATTGGTCAGAGAGGGCACGAAGGCATGCTGGGGGCGCAGGCGAGGGGCTGGCAAGGCAAGACTATAATTAGCCTGCGCTTCCTGCTCTGCACCTGCTGCAGATTCGATCTTGGGACCAGCGAGTGCGGAAGTGTTCTTACTTGGGCTCATTTTGTCGGTGAAGTTCATTACTGGCTTCGGGACAGCTTGAGAAACGAGCAAAAATGGAATTAAGCAGTGGAGCTTATACGTCTCCTGCTTCCCCATCAGCAAGTCTTCTCTCCATTTGAAAGGTAGGCTCCGAAGGAGCAGAGGAGTCACGGCGGCACCAGAAACAAGAAGCGCTCCTGGGTCTTAATATGTTTGGGGGTTCAACACCCAGCCAGCATGGCCAGGGATTCTGGGAGTTGAGATACAAAACATCTTCTGGGTATTGAGAACCAGATTTGTCACTGAACACTTATGAAAAGTAGGAGCTGTTTCCAGAAGACTGGGCAGGAGATGACATTGCTGTGGAGAAGAGGGTAGTTGTTTTGTCTCTTCCGTTTGGTTAAAAGTAGTTGACACAAGTATGGCCAGCAGAGATAATGGCTGGAGATGTACCTACAAAACTGTCTTCTTTCTTTTTTCCACCACTTTATCTAAATGCTTATTCCCAACCTTTTTTTGACCAGGGACCACTCTCCAACATTAGTACCAAAAAGGTTATGAATCAGTTTTTGGTCAGCTGGTTAAGTCTGATTATTTGAGGTACTGATTCAGAAAATTGCATTGGATAGACCATATCAGCTCTAGTTTCTGATACAGAACATATGGCCATCCAGTAGTCACCATCTGCTCACCCACAGAAAATATGTAATGATCTAGAGCTGGTGTGGTAGCAGTAACCTTTCATGGGTAGTCAGCCTCTTCCCTCCCAATATCCCTGTTACCACGGCAGTATAAGAGGGCTTACCAGACCAGTCGCTCTCGCTGTGTGGTTTCAAGGCAAAGTGTACTAATGGTGAGGCCGCGGACCATATTTTCGGTCTTGCGGACCACTGATGGTTCATGGACCACAGGTTGGGCTAAAACATGGGTATAGAATTCTAGAACATGAAGATGAACAAATCCAGTACACTAACCTATGCCTCACTTATTGCAGATGCAATTTAGATAGCGTTATGGAATTTATAATAACACATATATGAAGGGAAAACTTTTCCACAGGAACAGCCCTTCCCTGCTCATGTATCCCATCATGTTATCTATCTGTTAGATTAGTGCTTCCCAACCTGTGGTCTGCAGACCACCAGTGGTTTGCAAGAACTAAAATATGGTCCTCAGCCTCGCAGTTACTACAAAATTGCAACAAGAATGACTGGCCTCGCGAAACCTCATATACGAGTGCTGTGGCTTATTAAATATGTTTTTCTGTGGCGAGTAGATGGCGACTACAGGATGGCATATGTTCTGTATCAGAAACTAGAGCTGATGTGGTCTATCCAATGCAATTTTCTGAGTCAGCACTCCAAAACACCAAACTGGATCTAAAGTTGACCAAGAACTGAATCAGCTCCCTTTTGGTACTAATGTTGGAAAGTGGTCTCTGGTCAAAGTGGTCCCTGGTCAAGTGGTTTCTGGTCAAAAGAAGGTTTGGAACCACTGTTTAGTACATCTAGGGCTCTTAAGTGTAACACGATTTATTGATCAACGTGTTTCATAGATTGCCCAACTGCTATTTTGTATCTGTGGAGTCTGATTTATCTGGAGAACAGGTTCCTGAGAGCAGGTTTGGTACACTGGAGAGACAGCATCCAGGCCTTCCATCCCTTTCTTATTGTTTGAATTCTGGGAATTCTAATAAAAGTGTAGCTATTCCAAACTCTGAAACATCCTATTTCAAATCTAGAAGGAATTCTCCTGAAGCCAAATTCAGTCGATACAGCTGTTCCCAACATGGAAGGCCCATGTTGTTCTTGGAGTCCTTGTAGGGAGGCAGGTGAATATGAGCTAGCAATGTCATGCGGTGGCTAAAAAAGCCAATGAGATTTTGGCTTGCATAAATAGGAGTCTAGTGTCCAGATCCAAGGAAGTCATGTTACCCCTCTATTCTGCCTTGGTCAGATCACTTTATCTGGAATCACACTGTGTCCAATTCTGGGCGCTGCAATTGAAGGGAGATGTTGACTCTAAGCTGGAGTGTGTCCAGAGGGCTACTCAAAAGATCAAGGGTTTGGAGAACAAGCCCTATGAAGAGCGGCTTCAAGGGCGGGGCATGTTTAGCCTGCATAAGAGAAGGTTGAGAAGAGACATGATGAGGGTCATAGATAAAGAGGGAAGGAGAAGTCATAGGGAGGAGGGAGCAAGCTTAATTTCTGCTGCCCTGAAGACTGGGACTCAATGGAACAATGGCGTCAAAGGACAGGAAAGGAGATTCCACCTGAACATTAAGAAGTACTTCCTAATGAGAGAGAGAGAGCTGTTCAGCAGTGGAACTCTTTCTCTGTCTGGAGTGTGGTGTAGGGTCCTTCTTTGGAGGCTTTTAAACAGAAGTTGGATGGCCCTCTGTCGGGGGTGCTTTGAATGTGATGTTCCTGCTTCTTGGCAGAATGGAGTTGGACTGGATGTCCCATGAGGTTTCTTCCAACTCTGTTGTATCTGCCTGTCATGTAAGTGTGACAATCAAGGGGATGAAGATACAGCAACCTTAGTTCTAACTGAAATTTGGTTGGATGCATCTAGATTCAAGTTGACTGAAATTTCTGGGCCTAGATGAATGAATCGATGTGTTATGCTCCTCACACTACCTTGTTTTCAATACATTTCCCTACACATTTTCCAGAAAGAGAACTTCAAAATAGTTCTCTTTCCGCCCCACTCCCAGTGTTGCAGAAACTAGGAAAGATCCAGTCTTCCCTCCCCTCCTTTTGTTTGTGGCTGGCCCCTCTTGCCAAGCCTGCCTTCATTTATTTGTTCTGAGCTATTGCTGAGCTTGCCCTCGCTTGCCAAGACATGCTCTGTGTGTTCCCCCTTCTCCCTTTTGCCTTTGCGGAGAAGCAACCACAATTCCATGAAAACAAACACAAAATCCTCTCCTGGCAGCCCCCTTGCTCTGCAAGATCAGAAATGTTTTGTGGCTCTTCCTCAATCACAAATCCCCTCCTCTAGTTTCCCCCCTCAAACTATGGTTGCTCCTGCTGCGTAGTTGTCAACATTTTGGCTTTGTCACCATTCTGTACTGCAGCGTTTCTCAACCTGGGGATCAGGACATGAGGGGGTGTCAGAGGAGTCACCAAAGACCATCAGAAAACACAGTATTTTCTGTTTTTCATGAGGGTTCTGTGGGGGAAGTCTGGTCTAATTGTATCATTGGTGAGGTTCAGAATGCTCTTTGATTGTAGATGAACTATAAATCCCAGCACCTTCAACTCCCAAATGTCAAGATCTATCTTCCCCAAACTCCATCAGTGTTCACATTTCGGCATATTGAGTATTCATGCCAAGTTTGGTCCTGATCCATCATTGCTTGAGTCCACAGTGCTCTCTGGATGTAGGTGAACTACAACTCCAAAACTCAAGGTCAATGCTCACCAAGACCTTCCAGTATTTTCTGTTGGTCATGGGAATTCTGTGTGTCAAATTTGGTTCAATTCAATCATTGGTGGAGTTCAGAATGCTCTTTGATTGTCGGCGAACTACAATTCCCAAATGACAAAATAAATCCACCCCAACCCCACCAGTACTCAAATTTGGGCGTATGGGGTATTTGTGCCAAATTTGGTCCAGTGAATGAAAAAGACATCCTTCATATCAGATATTTACATTGTGATTCATAAGTCGCAAATTTACAGTAGCAACGAAAATAATGTTATGGTTGGAGGACACCACAACATGAGGAACTGTATTAAGGGGTTGTGGCATTAGGAAGGTTGAGAAACACCGCTGTACTGCTTCTAGTCCTCTCCATCACACCCAAAAACCTTTGATAGATTCTCGATTGTGCGCCTTTATGGAGGCACAAAAACTATGATTCCTTTGTGCCTTCTCTGTCAAAGAGGGCTGGTGCATCACCAAACCGCAATTCCCATGCTTCCACTGAGCCATGGCAGCTAAAGTTGACCCAACCTCAGGCGTGGGCAAACTTGGGCCTTCCATGTGTTTTAGACATCAACTCCCACCATTCCTTACAGCCTCAGGCTCTTTCCTTTTCACACTGAGGCATTTCTCCCACTGAGGCCTACCTCACAATGAGGGCTCTCTCAGACTGATGCCTCACTCACTGAGGTGTTTCTCTCAGTCTGCCGGCTACTAAGCTATATTGAACTGCTTAAGCGGCTGAGTGGGAAAAGGAAAGGGCCCTAAGCTGTTAGGAATGGTGGGAGTTGAAGTCCAAAATACATGGAAGGCCGGAGTTTACCTATGCCTATTCTAGAAGCACTCAAACGAGTAGTGTTTCAAAAGCTATCTGATGTGGGAGAAATGTCATAAACTGAATCAGCAGCCCAGAATGGATTGAAACCAGCTGCACGGAGTGGAAAGCAGATGCGGGGCATCGTATGGCTGGGGAGGGTTAGAGGTGGGAAGAGCTTGCTGAACGGAAACTTGTTTTTGTGACTTGAGATACATCAGCTGTGGCGTGCGAGGAGGGAAGTTGGTTTTAAAGCCACACGACGTTTTCTATCCTTGCAGAGGCCATAGAGATGAAAACCGAAGAAGAGGTTGACGCTTCAAGAGGCCCGACGGAGACACCTACTTCTGAAGGAGTGGTGAGTCCATCTCTGTGTGCTTTGTCTGTCTAAACTTCTGAAGTTTAGAGCCATGCAACATATCAAAATGCTAACGTTTGTTTTTGTTTTTGTTGGGGTTTTATGATGGAAGAAGCCAGTGTTCTGGGTTTGTTTAAAAATGTATTTGAACTTGCTCTTTGTTATTGAGTGACCTTTCATTCACATGGCAGAAGGAATATCGTTTAGATCAGTTGATTCATGGTTGTGTGTTGTCATCCCTTTCCATTTGTGCATAGAGGAGTCTTGCCTTTTCCCTTGTCGTTTTGATTTATAGTGATTCAGCAGCACATGCTAGACAGTGGAGCTGCTTTGATCTGGAGGACATAGACAATTTGATGAGGATTGGTTTGTTTTTGTTATATCACAAGGATAGCAACTGTTAGCCAGTGGACTCCATTTCTATTGGTCATGGGGGTTCTGTTTGGGAAGTTTGGCCAAATTCTGGGGTTCAGAATGCTCTTTGATTGTAAGTGAACTACAAATCCCAGCAACTGCAACTCCCAAATGTCAAGGTCTATTTTCCCCAAACTCCACCAGTCTTCACATTTGGGTGTATCGGGTATTTGTGCCAAATTTGGTCCAGTGAATGAAAATACATCCTGCATATCAGGTATTTACATTATGATTCATAATGGTAGCAAAATTATAATTATGAAGTAGGAACGAAAATACTTTTATGTTTGGAGGTTATCACAGCATGAGGAACTGGATTAAGGGGTCATGGCATTAGGAAGGTTGAGAAACACTGTATAGACAGTGGAAGTGGTTTGCTCTCAAGGACATAGAGAATCTGATGAGGATTCAAAAGGTGACTGACCATCCTGTCTTGGTTTGTTTTTGTTATATCACAAGGATAGCAACTGTTAGCCAGTGGACTCCATTTCTATTGGTCATGGGGGTTCTGTATGGGAAGTTTGGCCCAATTCAGGGATTCAGAATGCTCTTTGATTGTAGGTGAACTAGAAATCCCAGCAACTACAACTCCCAAATGTCAAGGTCTATTTTCCCCAAACTCCACCAGTCTTCACATTTGGGTGTATCAGGTATTTGTGCCAAATTTGGTCCAGTGAATGAAAATACATTCTTCATATCAGGTATTTACATTACGACTCATAACAGTAGCAAAATTACAATTATGAAGTAGCAATGAAAATAATTTTATGGTTCAAGGTCATCACAACATGATGAACTGGATTAAGGGGTCGTGGCATTAGGAAGGTTGAGACACACTGTGCTAGACAGTGGAGGTGGTTTGCTCTGGAGGACATAGAGAATCTGATGACAATTCAAAAGGTGACTGTCTATCCTGTCTTGGTTTGTTTTTGTTATATCCAGAGGATAGCACTTTGCAGCTAGTGGACTCAGTTTGCTTCAGTCCCTCCCTCTGTGGTTTATTCTTCATCCCAAAGATTCCTTTTATTATATTATCAGTCTTTCACTCAGACACAAGTAAAGCTTTGCCCACCTTTTTATCTATGTTAATAAGAGCAGGAGCTCTGCTGGAGTTCTCCGTGTAAGCAAGTTGTCAGTTTCAAGAGACAGGTTGCAAAAAACAGCCACACTATTCCATTTGGAGGAGATCTGTTGCAAGTTCAAGGCTAATTGATGCATTTTAGCAATAAGCTTTCATCAATTGCAATTTATTTCCTCAAATGTATCGATGGGAAGGTAACGGCACTCCATGCAGTCATGCTGGCCACATGACCTTGGAGGTGTCTACGGACAATGCTGGCTCTTCGGATTAAAAATGGAGATGAGCACCACACCCCAGAGTCGGAGATGACTGGACTTAATGTCAGGGGAAAACCTTTACCTCTACCGTAACCTATCGATGGAGTACAGTATGAAAGTCTCAGGTCCTCCATTAGTGTGTCTGGGGAAGTGGATTGTACTCCTTGAAAATTGTCTTGTCTTGAAGGTGCCTCAAGACTCCACCCCCATCCTCTCTTATTGTAATAATAACAACAATAATAAAGTAAAACAATAAATATAATAATAATAATAATAATTGGAAACCCCCAATGGCCCAGTGGGTTAAAGCACTGAGCTGCTGAACTTGCTGACTGAAAGGGTGCAGGCTTGAATCCGGGGAGTGGGGTGAGCTCCCGCTGTTAGCCCCAGCTTCTGCAGACCTAGCAGTTCGAAAACATGCAAATGTGAGTAGATCAATAGGTACTGTTCCGGCAGGAAGGTAACAGCGCTCCATGCAGTCACGCCGGCCACATGACCCTGGAGGTGTCTTCGGACAACACCGGCTCTTCAGCTTAGAAATAGAGATGAACACCAGGGGAAAACCTTTACCTTTACTACTACTACTACTACTACTACTACTAATAATAATAATAATAATAATAATAAATAGAGTAAAATAATCAATGTAATAATACCAATAATAATAGAATAAATAATACATGCAGTCATGATAATAAATACAGTAAAGTAATAAATGTAATAATAACAATAAGAGTAAAATAATAACTGTAATAATAATAATAATAGAGAAAATAATAAATGTAATAATAATAAATGAAATAAAATAATAAATGTAATAAAAATAATAGAGAAAAACAATTTAAATATATTAGTAATAATAATAATAATAATAGCAATAAATACAACAACAAAGTAAAATAATACATAACTTGACTCGAGTATAAGCTGAGTGGGGCCTTTTCAGCCTGAAAAAAGGGCTGAAAAACTTGGCACATATGGTGTGTGTATATATGTTCTAATAAAAAGTATAGGAGAGCAGAACTGAAGATCGCTCATACTTTTTTGAGTATCAGATTCTACTTCTGGTGACTCGACTCCAAGCCATTGGCATTTGCTGCATCTTGTGGCAGTGAATTCCTTAACTTTCACTAGGTGTTGTGTGTAGTCAGCAGTCTTCTGGCTGAGGCAGATTGTAGAATACAGGCCTTTTGATGCCCATATGCTTTCCCTCTGGATTTTGTGCAGCTAGTGCTCTCTAGATCTTTTAGATTGCAGCTCCCATCATCTCTAGAGATCTGAAAGCTTTGGGGTTATATTTCAACATAGGCCAGATGTGTCCTTATTGTACTCTGTGTCGTCTTATGTGATTAGAGTTTTTTAATAAACGTTTTCCCATTTACTGTATTTCCCCAGTATGGGAGCACATTTGTGTTTCTTTGTTTGGTTCTTGCATTGCTTTTATTGCTATTGATTTCCAATATCGGATGCATGTGAATACTAACAATAACAGCAACCACAGCATTTTCAAGTTCTGCCCAAGATGGAACTTCTTTTCTGTTTCGAGTTCTGTCAATCATTTCCTGCTCCTGTCTTTTTCTCCCTTTTATTGGCTGCTGCTCCTTTTAAATCTTTTTTGGTATGTGGTTAGGAATACTAAGGCACAAGGAACATTTGCTCCAGGACCAGTGACCACAGTTTCCGTTGCTAAGTTAGCTGAAAAGGAAACCATCACATACACAGCCCACAACCACCTTACTTAAAATGTGCTGAAGTGTCTTTAACCCTCTGACACATTTATATCCCTATCTGACTTCAAAATATACCTACTATATTTACAAATGTAATGGATTTGACAGGTTGACTGAAAGAGCAATTCAAGCGAGGCAGAGGAGAGGAAAACATTCACTTTCCAAACTGTTAGCATGTCAGTTGATTTATTTGGGTGCATTCCAGTCTACAGTCAGATGCAGATTCAGGACTTAAACTGCTTTGATTACCCTCGTGGCTGTTGCTGTCTCTACGTCATGACTCCACTGGACCAGCCACATTGTCCGGATGTCGGACCACCATCTCCCAAAGCAGTTGCTCTACTCTGAATTCAAGAACGGAAAACGGAATGTTGGTGGGCAGGAAAAGAGATTTAAAGATGGGCTCAAAGCCAACCTTAAAAACTCTGGCATAGACACTGAGAACTGGGAAGCCCTGGCCCTTGAGCGCTCCAGCTGGAGGTCAGCTGTGACCAGCAGTGCTGTAGAATTTGAAGAGGCACAAATAGAGGGCGAAAGAGAGAAATGTGCCAAGGGGAAGGTGTGTCAAGCCTGACCAGGACCACCTTCCACCTGGAAACCAATGCCCTCACTGTGGGAGAAGATGCAGATCAAGAATAGGGCTCCACAGTCTCCTATGAACCCACCACCAGTACACTGATCTTGGGAGACAATCCTACTCGGACAACGAGGGATCACCTAACTAAGTAACTAGGTTTCCAGAACCTTTACATACCACTCCGTTCTCCTCCTCCCTCTCCTCCTTCCCCTCTTCTTTCCCCTCTTCCTCGTCCTTTCTGTGTTCTTTGCAGTTATTTCCAAATTACGGCAAACTTAAAGCGACCCTATCACAGGGTTTTCTAGGTAAGATATGTTGAGAGATTTCCCATTGCTTGCTGTGAGTTTTCTAGGGTGTATGGCCATGTTCCAGAAGCATTCTCTCCTGACGCTTCTCCTGCATCTATGGCAGGCATCCCCAGATGTTGTGAGGTCTGTTGGAAACTAGACAAGTGAGGTTTATATATCTGTGGAATGATATCCAGGGTGGGAGAAAGAACTCTTGTCTGTTGGAGGCAAGTGTGAATGTGGCAGTTGGTCAGCTTGATTAGCATTGAATGGCCTTGTAGCTTCAGAGCCTGACTAGTTGTTCCCTGGGGGAATCCTTTGTTAGGAGGTGTTAGCTGGCCCTGATTATTTCCTGTCAGGAATTCCTTTTTTTTAAAGTGTTTCAGACTTTGCTGTCTGAAATTCCCACCCTTGGAAATATGCACTGGTAATAATAATAATAATAATAATAATAATAATAATAATAATAATAATAATCTGCAAAGGCTCTGGCATAAAACAGTACAGGTGGTCCCAGTGGTAATCAGCACACTGGTTGCCATGTCAAAAGATCTCAGCTGGCATTTGTAAACAATAAACATTGACAAAATCTCGATCTGTCAGCTGCAAAAGGCCAACTTACTTGGATCTGCGCTCATCATTCGAAAATACATC